TCCTGGGCTCAAGTGATCCTCTTGTCTCAGCTAGGACTACAGACATGTGCCACCATGTGGCACGCCTAGCTAATTTTTCTGTTTTGTGTAGAGATGGGGTTTCTTGCTCAGGCTGGTCTCAAACTCCTGGCCTTAAGCAATTCTCCTGCCTCAGCCTCCCAAAGTGGTAGGATTACAGGTAAGAACCACCTGGCTGGCCAGAGACTCTCCTACACAGTGGAAGCCTAACTATAGCTTTCCTATTAGACCTAATGAAATTTGGTGAATCATTCGGGACAATTTGAAATACCTAAAGTATTTGAAAGGTATTTGAAATACTTCTTTCACATTTGAATGTGAAAGAGTAGATGACCTGGCCCTAGACAAAACACATTTCTTCTGACTTGAAAACAACTTCAACTTTCTTTTTTTCTCTTTCAAAGTCTTCACAGAAAAGCTGTCCTTAACATTTTAAGTGTCATTAGTACCTAAAAAAAAAAAAAAAAAAAAGCTCACTCATTTATTCTACATAATTTGGTGAACTTGGCTTTTAAGGAAATCAGGGACTTGGTACCAAATTTAGTTTTAAACAGAAATAAGTCCTTTGAATATAGTGAGATCAAATGCACATTTGCAAATACTTTAAAAGAAATACATTGTTTACAAAATATTTCAACATCCTCCTTCTTTCCTTAGCAATCTGTATTGTTCTAATGATAAAGACTAAGTGACATCAAAATAACTTTATTGTGGACTATCGGTTTTTTCTTATTTTCTCCCCTTCACCTTTAAAAGCTATGCCAACTTTGTTAAAACAAGACACAGTGTTGATTTGATTATCTGGGTAATTCAACTTTCCTTAAAATGAACTTATTTGTCACAATATTCCTTTCCTGGGAGCCCTCCTTTTGATTGGCCTATATCTGTTGAGTTTTTAAAATTTGAAATATGCCAGCTAAGCTAAGATTAACTTTAGAGGTAGGCTGGGAGCCAGCAAATTCCTAAGTTTGTAAGGACCAGGTGGTTGTGGGCTTGAACCTTAGCTCTGCCATTTACTACCGATGTGATCTTGAGCAAGTGTCTTAACATGCCGAGGCCTCTCATTCTTTCCTCATATATCACATGTGCTGAGATATTATAAATATATACTAGGTGCTTAATGAATGGAAGTGATTAATACTTTTGATTCTCAATCTGTAAAAATGGAGATAAAATAATTCTAGATATATGGCAATTATCATAAAGTATTTTACATACCTACAGGGTTCTACAAACATTATTTTAGTTTCTGCAAATAAAATAGATGTGTTCTCATTCTTTTCTATGTTTAATATTAAAAAGCAGATCACAG